GTTTCATACCATATACAAAAACTGACCCAAATGGATCATAACTAAAATAATAAAATTCTTAAAATGCAGACATACATTTATACGACTTAGTTGAAACAACACCTTTTTATTTTTTTTAATATATTTTATTGATTTTTTACAGAGAGGAAGGGAGAGAGATAGAGATTTAGAAACATCGATGAGAGCCTCCTGCACACCCCCTATTGGGGATATGCCCACAACCAAGGTACATGCCCTTGACAGGAATCAAACCTGGGACCCTTCAGTCTGCAGGCCAATGCTCTATCCACTAAGCCAAACTGGTTAGGGCAAAACAACACTTATTTAGATACCAAGAACATAAGTGACAAAAGGAAAAACAGATAAATTGGACTTCATGAAAATTAAAAATGTTTTCCTGAAAGAGCACCATCAAGACAATGAAAAGTTAACCCAAGGATTGGGAGAAAGCATTTTTAAATTTTATATGTAATAGAGAAATTGTATCCAGAATATATAAAGAACTCATAATTCAGAAATATATCAGAAATGACAAATAAAATAGGTGGATACTTTGAATTAACATGTCTCCAAAAATAGTAGATGAATGGTGAATAAGCAGGTGAAGAAATGCTCAATATGACTAATCATCAGGTAAATACAAATAAAAACCACAATGAGATACTGCTTCACATCCACTGGGATACCCATAATAATAAATAATAATATCAAATGTTGGCAAAGATATAGAGAAATTGACACCTTCATGTACTGTTGGTACAAATGTATAATGATGCAACTATCGTGAAAATAGTTTGGCACTTTCTCAAAAAAATTAACCAGTGTTATCATATGATCCAGCAATTCCTTTCCTAACTATATACCTAAAAAAGTTGGACACAAAGGTCCACACAGAACTTTTATATAAATGTTCAAAGTAGCATATGCCTAATATCCAAAATATTTAAATGTCAATGAATGACATTCATTTCTAATGTCAATGAATGAAGGAATAAGCCACAATTGGAATATCCCTACAATGGGACATTACCTATATATATAAAAGCCCAGTGACCATTACGGTGGAATGACCAGTCACTATGACATGCACTGACCACCAGGGGGCAGACACTCAATGCAGGAGCTGACCCCTGTTGGTCAGTGACACCCACAGGGGAAGCGCCACTCAGCCAGAAGCCAGGCTCATGGATGGCAAGTGGAGCGGTGGTGGTGTGAGCCTCTCTAGGCTCTGCAGCAGCAGCGCGAAGGAGCAGCAAGCCAAGTGGTAAGGAGGGAGCAGGCAGGCGGTTAGGAGTGAGGGGTCCCGGATTGCAAGAAGGATGTCCAACTGCTGGTTTAGGCCCTATTGTGAGAGGGCATATGCCGGGCTGAGGGGACACCCCTCCAGTCCCCTGTGCATGAATTTCATGCATTGGGCCTCTAGTTCAGTAATAAAAGGGAACGAAGTATTGACACATGCCACAACTTGAATAATTGAAACAGGATTATGAATGTATCCAGTCACATAAGACTAGATGTAGTATGACCCAGTTTATATAATAGGTTAAAAGTCAGGTACATCCCTAGAGACAGTAATTAGATTAGTGGTGGCCAAGGAGAAAAGAGGAAGAAGAGAGTGAGTGGTGAGTGACTGCTAGTGGGTATGGAGTGAGGAAAATGCTCTGGAATCAAATAATAGCAGCAATTTTATAACCTTGAAATAACATTTTAAAAACAATATATTCCGTTTATAATGGTGAAGTTTTTGGTTGCTAAATTAAATCTTAATAAAGCTTTAAAAAATCATCTGTGGCCTGGCCTTGCCAGTGTGGCTCAGTGGTTGAGCATCGACCAATGAACAAGGAGATCAAGGTTCAATTTTTGGTTAGGGCACATACCAGGGTTATGGCTCAATGTCCAGTAGTGGGGGTGCAGAAGGCAGCTCATCAATGCTTCTCTCTCATCATTGATGTTTCTATCTTTCTCTCCCTCTCTTTTCCTCTCTGAAATCAATAAAAATATATGCTAAAGGTAATCTGTGTATCCCAATCCCTGCATTTATTGGAGACTAGTCTTTCAGTGTAACGGTGTGGGCTTTCTTAATGTCTTTTATCCAGACTTGAGTGTAGTTACTGCTTTTGCTGAGCACAGTGTTCAGATGTCAGGTGTTTCCTGTTTGCATTGCAGCATCTTTAAAATGTACATACCAAACACCTGAAGTCATGAAATTAATTCTGGATTTGAGTTTTCCTTTGACAGTGTGGACAGAAGGCCATGAGTAATGGAAACTTGCATGTCCACAAGAAGAAAAGACTTCTGCTGAGAGGCAGATCTATACTTAAATTCAGAATATAATGCTCTAGTCTTGTAAATCTGCAGGAGTTTCTGAAACTTCACTTAGGTTCACCTTCCAAGGTGTGCTTCCCTGATGCTCTCATGCCCTTCTTAAATATCACCTTTTCCTATTTTTCTTTTTTAACATATTTTATTGATTTTTTACAGAGAGGAAGGTAGAGGGATAAAGAGATAGAAACATCGATGAGAGAAAAACATTGATCAGCTGCCTCCTGCACACCCCCCACTGGGGATGTTCCTGCAACCAAGGTACATGCCCTTGACCGGAATTGAACCAGGGACCTTTCAGTCCACAGGCCGACACTCTCTCCACTGAGCCAAACTGGTTAGGGCAGATGTCTCCTTTTTCTGCTTGCAGAAATGCATAAAAGCCAACAAACCTTGTGGCTCTTCGTTGGTATCCAATACAGAGGCACAACATAATCACGAGACAGGCTAAACAAAGTTCAACCTGATACTTCCCTTTCTTGATCTGTTGTTTTATTTTAAACATATAACAAAAAATAACACAATGTAGGTTGGGGAAAGTCTTTTATTACATAGATGTATTTAACAAATTCTTTTCCCAAAGAAAACCAATGTTTTGAAATGATGCAGAGTCAATTTGCATGCCATCTCCACTATTGGAGTTACTGAGTGACACTGAGGGATTACTTAACCATTCTGAATCTGTCACCTCAGTGGCAAAAGAGGAGAGCAATAGAAATGACTACCACACTGGGTCCCTATGATTAGGGCAGAGATAATGAAGTTCATCTGGTTATGTAAACAAAAATGGGTCCTACAAATAAGAGTGTTATTTTCTAGTATGCACACTTTTTTTTTTTAACCAAGTACTGTCATATGTCTTTGTTGAGTATGCAATTCAATGGTCACCTTCCAAACTGCAGGAATCTGTTATTAGGTAATTCTGGCAGGAACAAACTAAAACACATATTTCCCTTTGAAGTCAGAGTTCTGTTTTAGCAAAGTATAGTACAGTTTTTCTGTTTAAATGACATGCAATGCACAAGTGAGTTGATTTGTACATGCCTACTTATATCTGTTGTGAATCTTACTATTGCCCAAGGGGCTGGTATTCAGTTTGCAAAAGTTATTACTCATCTATTTTAGTGGCCTGGGGTTTTAAAGCAATATCTGTTCTGTGTGAATGTTTTAAACTTCCATCTCCCTAAAAAGAGAAACAAAAACAAATCAGTAAATTAGATGTTTAATTCTTTAAACTTGTATCCTCCTTAAAATAAAGCTTTACACCAAATGTACTTTTCCTACAAGTAATGTCTTTAAAAATTCGGTTAAAGGAGATGCTCAATCCAAATTTTACTGTGATTGGCTTTTCCCTGAACGATGGGATATGAGCTAAACCCTCTGGATAGAAGTTCTGGAAGACCACCTGACCTTTGCCCCCTTGCCTTCGGTGCATTTCAGCCCTATTGAACATCAACTCTATGTTAATCACTGGGTTAGTGGTGCTGGGTATGATGTTTCAGGCAATAGTAGAGTTTGCTTAAGATTTAACAGAACTGCCCTAACTGATTTGGCTCAGTGGATATAGCGTCAGCCTGCGGACTGAAGGGTTCCGGATTCGATTCCAGTCAAGGGCACATGCCCAGGTTGCAGGCTTGATCCACAGTATAGTGGGTGTGCTGGAGGCAGCCAATCAATGATTCTCTCTCATCATTGATGTTTCTATCTCTCTCTCCCTCTCTCTTCCTCTCTGAAATCAATAAAGGTATATATTTTTTAAAAATCCAGGTCAGATCTTGTTTTTTAGTTTCCTCATATCTATAATAGGGGATATATTAGTGGCTCTTGTGATGATCAACTGAAATAATGTATGAGGAAGTGCTCTCTAAACATTCATTTAACTAGGATATCCTGCTGGGATATCAATTATATACCATGTTGTAAAGATCCTAGAATTAAATAGCTCAGTAGGTGAAGTTGGCTCTGTTTTGCTATTTTGCATGAGAGTTGTGTTATTTCATTTTACTATTTAATTTTTTTCAAAATAAAGATGATTAAATGTAAGATACCCATTATAGAAAGTTTGGCCAATATAGCAAACAAAACGACACATACATTTTTCTGTCTTCCGATACCACCCCTCCGAGTTAATTACTCTACGTTTTGGTGAATTTCTCTGTTATGTCTTTTCACCTGAAGAAAAACTTCTTCAGGTGCGTGAAATGTGGCCACTAGCTCCAATTCCACTGCCAGCTGCTCATCCCATTAGACGGATTGAAATCAGAGGAAGGTCAGGAATCTTCTAAAGCCGGACGCAGCGCACGTCTTCAGGGTCCTGAAGCCCCCTTAGAGCCCACGTTTGCCGAGTGAGAAGCTGGCAATGGCATTGTGGGCTCAGGGGACATTTCTGGAGGCTGCTGACGCCTGCTTTCCTTCCCGCCACATCAGGCAAATATATTTCTAATTAAAATAACATTTTAAACACTCTCTCCAGAGTGACGTTCTTTCAAACACTGTTTAATCAGGCGAGGGACACCTGCCTGCAATGGAAGCATCAGCTAGGCTTTCCTAGTGACTCATCTCACCCCCTGCGAAGTACGCTGGTGCAATTACTGGCAAATTAGACTTCTCCTCTATCCCTCCCCATCCCGCCCCTCCCCTCCCCATCTTCCAGGAAAGCAGGGATAAATGATCAGCCCCGGGCGGCTGTGCAGAGGGGTGAGCGCGGCCCGCTGACCGGAGCGCGGGGCCATCGCTGGGCACCTCCTCCCTCTCCCGCGCCGCCTCCAGCGCGAGTGACAGCGCGTCCTCCGGGCTCGGGAGCGGCGGTGCCGCGCGAACAATCCCGGGCAGGGCTCCACTCGCCGCTGGTGACATCACTCCCAAAGAGACTCCCTGCTGTCGGCGCCTGCCTGGAGAGGCATCTGTCCGTTTGTCTGTCTGCTGCTGGAGAGGGCTTATCGTTGGCCGGGGACAAAGCCTGGGACCAAGGAGAGACAGGACCGGGAGAAGGAGGGAGAGCAAAGCCAGCGAGGGAAGAAGGACCCCGGCCGGCGACAGCATGAAATTCAGCGCAGCTCACTACTTGCTGCCTCTCCTGCCTGCGCTGGTCCTCAGCACCAGGTGAGTCCAGGAGCGGGAGGGACCTGAACCGAAGGGCGCTGCTGGTAGGTTGGTCCGACTGCAGTTCACCTGTGGGGGCCAAGGACAGACCCATGAGCTGTTTGCATCGCCTGCCTAAGTTGGAGGGTCCCTCTGTTTTTAGGGTTCTGAAATGCTGGGAGGAGAGCTAGTTATCCCAGTCCTTAAAGTCTCAGTATTACTCCCTGTGAGAGGACCGACAGCTTTCCCTTCTAAAGACGGGTTCCCTCCAGCCCTAGTAATAGCAAAAGATAGCACGCAGCAACCAACCACAATAAAGGGCACAGAGAGACCAGGAGGGAACTGGCACCAGGCAGTGCCTTCACACTGGAGCGGCCTTAATAGTCACAGAGCTTCCTTATGCCTCAAGAGTGTGTGTGGTTTTAAGATACAGGGATCTTGAGGGGGAGGGGGGGGGGATTAATCCCAGAAGATGGTATGCCTTGCACAAAAGTTCCTGACTTGTGGAATGGCCTGTTGTAACGTCTTGCGTAGACTTAGGGGGAGGCATTTTCATTTGGATGTCTGTGATCGGGGCTGGGTCTGATTATGGAGCACACGAAGAGATTAAAAGTTAGAAGACACTCTCAGAGTGCTGATGTAGAGACCCTCCTCAGAAACATCGCTGTACTCCATCGCTGACCATCAATGGGGCTTTAAGTCCCAGCACAGAGGAGCTATTTTGAATGGAGGTTTAAAATGAAGTGAGTGAAAAGACTTTTGTGACTTGCCACTGTTCATCAAGTCCCGGAGTTGGTGATGGGCTGGCGTTCTCCTGCCACAAGAGCAGCACAAGGGTGGACTGTTTCTTTGCCCAAGACTCGGCCTTTATTCCGCATGCCCTTCACATCCGATTGGCAGCAACTTCTCTCCCTTGGCTACTGAAAAATAAAATACGCCCCACAGGATGAGGACCTTTCCAAATCTATGTGAATGGAAACATTATTTGATTGTGTATCTGATGGAAAATGAAAGGGAGAAAAGAATTAGTTCCAAATCTGAAAATAAATGTATGAAGATAACTCATGATCTAGGAAAAATCAAGGCAGTAAAACAGGTTTGAGTCCATTCCTAATCTACACATCCTCTTGAAAGCTCCTGTTACCAAACTTTCCTTTTAGTGTGAGGACTGTTAGATTTAGCCCCAATAGTTGATGAACTTAGTCTTTGCTTGTAAACAAGCCCAGATGACTATAATAGAATTAGTGTATTCTTTATTTTCTCTGGGGATTGCTGGTCATTTCAGTTCACAAAATGTAAGATGCTTTTAAAATCACAGGTGCTGCCCAGTATTATAATATTTTGCTCCGATTACAGAGCTCATTTTAATATTTGTGGCTAGCTGTAAACAACTCAATGCAAATTGAGCATCACAGTTAGTCTTTGCAGTGTCTTGCCATTTACTCTGAACTTCTGTGTTCTGTTTTAATAATTACTTGCGAGGTCTTCTAGAAAAATGGTAATTGTCAAAGTTTGAGTAGATGCCTCTCAACATATACATAAAATAATAAATATTTAAACAATCTAAAGTGATTTTAAAGACATTGAAATGTGTAGTGTTCCAAAAGTACATTTGATTTTTAAGGATGCTGCAATTTAAGTAGCTTACAAAACTCTTAAGTCTCTAGCTTCCAAAGTTTTAACATTGGTTATATAGTAGAAAGAGAGACAAAGAATTATCTCCATCCCTTTAATGAAAGTTGTAATTTTTAAGGATACATTTTAAAACATAGTCAACACATTTATTATAACAAATATTTGAATTAGTCATTTCTAGTTTACTTTAGATATGAAACTTCTTCAGTGGTGGTTGTATTTGAAAATTGTGACAGGTCTTTAAATTTTCCTTTTTGCTTACTCAACAAAAAGAGCATGGTGGGCTTAAGTAAGTGAAAGTTATTGTAATCAATGGCATATCTTGTTATTGTGATTACTCAGTAGCAATTATTTTATTGGGTACCCAGATTACCTCCTGACAGTGTGAAAATTAAAAAAAAAAAAATGAATGTGATGCTGTTAGCATGTCATTTTGCAAGAAGAGATTATGTTTTAATGGCCTGTAACAGAAGGCCATGCTCTTTGCAACATTTAAGAGTTGTTGTAGACATATGGTTAATGTACAAGTTAGAACCCAAGCTGCACGGGTTTGTGAGAACAGTGGCATTAGTAGAGGTGAGTTCATTATCCTGCTGAGACAAACAGTGTAGCTCAGCCATGGCCACCTGTGACAGTGAATTTTCTAGCCAAAGACTTCCGTTAGTTTCTTAGTCCGTGGTCCTGTTTGTGAAGCAAATGGCAATTCACATACTTAGACTGTATCAAATGCATTAGTAGCAGGGTGTGGCTCTTGCTAGGTTCTCCTATAGTCTTTATCATTTGTCTTTGTCAAGTTCTTTTTAAAGTGTGAGAAATGTAGATCTGAGACTCTTGATGCAAAAAAAAAAATGTATGTTTCAACGTCTCTTTCTCTGGGCCTACCTCTTCAATACCTTGCTATTATCTTTCCACAAGGTTTAAAGTTTGGTTCTGTTTTAAAATACAGGAATGTGTTCACTAAAACAAATGAGGCAATTAGAGAGTTATTATATAATAGTATTCTATCCACACAAATTAAAACTCTAAATAATTCTGTCTTTTAAATATGAATTTTTGAATATCTTTCTGTTTGTGTTTGTTCATTCCAACCTTTTAAAAAATTTAGTTACATACTTTATTTTCCAATGAGATATTTGAAGAATCAGTACTAGATGATGCAAGCATTTAATTTTTTGTTCCTTTCAAAACTGGATTTCACAACCTATTTCAGTCAACACATTTTTAAAAAGTTTTTATTGTTGAGAGTATTACAAATGTCCCCTTTTCCTTCCCCATTGCCCCCTCCACCCAGTTCCCACCCCACCCCAAGCCTTCACCACCGTATTTTCTGTGTCCATAGGTAATGCATATATGCATTACTGTTTTGTGATTAATCTCTTCCCGCACCCCCATCACAAAACTTCCATATTTTATCCATAGTGAAGACTATCAATGCCCCGGCCCAATCAGAGTTACTTTATTTGCCCTTAAAGTAAGCTAACTGCTCACCTTCCACAATAGCCAAGAATTATTTATTTTACTGATAAACTCCATAGAATTAAAAAGAGCAGTTTAATTTTCTGGTGTTTGTCTCCTCTGTCTAGAACATACATTTAAATTCAGAAAATTTAAGTTAATGTTAAAAATAATGTAGTTAATACAGAAACACATTTAACCTGTGCACAAATAAATGTGTTCAAAGAAAACAAGCATGTTGATTATTAAGCTTCAGAGTAAAATGACTGTACTTTTTAAATAGCCTCATCCTGTAGAGAATAAATTGCAATTCCAAGGCAGCCAGCAATTCACTTCAGAAAGAAGTCGTACAGGTAGTGAAAGGAATGGTAGGGTGGAAAAATCGTTAGAAGTTCTTGGTGAAAAGGGACTCATGGAGTGCCAGAGAAGCCTTGTGCTTTAGGCTGCTGAACCTCTGTTCCTTTATGCTGTGATTCTACTCTTCATGCCTTTGGTTTACTGAGTTTTAAATGGCTTAATGGGGAGAGAAGCATGGCAGGGAGGAGTGAAGGTCTACTGACTTCTGATGGTTTTCCATCGAGGGAGAACTTTAAGCAGATGGTCGGTTAAAGTCCTTCCAATAGGAGTCACCTTATAGGTCTCTACTGGGCCCTCTGATCAGCAGCCATACCACATGTTTACTTTGGAATCTATTTTTAGGGAATATTATATATTGAAGATGATTTGCTCTCTGCTTTAATCCTCCTGAGAATCAATGTGATATATAGGGTAAGCACCACAATAAGAACACAGTAAGTCCCAACCATTTTTATTTTTAAGCATATACATTTGATGTAGGAGACGTTCTTGTGTTAACTCCCCCACGCTGATCTATGTCATGTGGAATTATTTTCCCAAGCCCTGCCCATAGTGAGTGTTGCCACACACAAACACCTTTAATCTGACCCCATGCATATTCCTTTGTGATAGGAATTACCATTCTGTGTAATAGAGTTAGAGAAGACATTAACAAGCAACTGTTTTGACTTTTCAAATTTCAATTTTGGACCTTAGTTGCCTGTTTCCAATAGTAGTTTTTTTTAAATGGCTTATTTAGGTATTATCTTTGTAGATTAAATTTCTCTTATGACTAATGAAAGGGACACTTCAACTATGTATGGTTTGATTGTACAGACCACTCTCTATGTAATTGAAAGAAAGAACTTGACCTACCAACCAGGAAGCAAAAGTTACTGAAACTGCTGAGGGGTATGTGGTTCTAATGAAATGATGTTTTCTCATGTGTGTTATGAGAATGCTTCTGTGTGTGTGTGTGTGTGTGTGTGTGTGTGTGTGTGTGTTAGAGAAAGAGATATGTGTGTGCCTGTTTTTCACTGACTTCTAGAGGAAAATCTCTTTAATAAATAGGGCTAAGTAATTAAAGTAACCTAATTACAGAGATAATGTTCAATGCAAAGTTTTATTCTCTGGAAAATAAAAAAAATCCATTTTAATTTGTCTTTATAATCTTTAAAGATATCTTTGATGTTTTCATTATCATGTATTAAGCATGCCTGCAATGAGTCAGCTATTGCAGAAGGCATGAGGACAATAAAATATTAGTCACAAGTGCATGTTCCCATAATCAAGTCATGTATGGAAATGATTATGTATAAGACAAAATTGGATAAATAATAACAAATGTTTTTTAAAGATAAACTTTATTCAAATATAATATCAGATTAGAATATTTCCAAATTCAGACTATTAGTCAAACGCTTAACTGGACAGACAAGACAAAGCTTCAGAAACAAAACAAGGAGTTACAAAAACATCCTTCTATGTAGCATCATATAATATACTTGTCATAAACAAATTTCTAAGTATGAAAGAGTGAATAATGCCAATTAAAGAGTATCAGAAGTAATTTGTTTTCCAAAGACAATGAGAGA